GATTATGACGTTGCGTTTGGTTAGAAAAACATCTTAATCAATACTTCAAGAATAACAGTGATTATTAATTACAATGACAGAATATCATTGACAATAAAAGAATGGGTATTTATAAAGATGGTATTATTACTTATTATGATACAAATATATTTGATAATATAAAATTATCAAAGGAAAAGGGTCTAGTGGTTGATTCTAAAAAGAATATTAACTCATAGCAAAATAGTAGTAATTATATATTCTTCTTAAAATAAGAAAATAAAGAAGAAATTCAAACCCATTAAAATCAAAAAGAAAATAAATAATGAATATTTAAATAATTGATGTTTAAAATACTCTATTCCATATCAAATAAATGAGAAAATGAAATTATCATAATTCAACAACTAAAATCAAAGAATAAGCCAATAGTTGATGAACAAATACTTTTAAAACAAATGGATTAATTAATCTCAGCTGAGCAAGGAACAATATAAAATAAAATTATTAACATTAATTATCTACTTTTTATTGCGATCCTTTTATCAATTCAGAAAATACATCATATTTTGATACTATGGATATTGAGTAATACCATAGGGTCTTGTAAAGAAAATCAAACAACAAACAGGTATTCAAGTTCAAAGAAAAGAATGAACTTCAATAGCAATAAAATGCATAATAATAATGATAAAAGAAATAACAAGAAAAAAGTGAATAGAAAAAGAAGAATACAAATAAAAACAAATAAGAAACAAGGCAAATATAATGATAATAAACATTATACAAATAATAAATCTAAATTATTAACAACAAAAGAAATTGAAATAAAAATTAAAAGAATAACAAGAAAATGGGAGAAATGAGAATAATCAGAAATACATAAAAAATAAGAAGATAAAGAAAAGAAATGGTATAATATTCTCCAAGAAGTATATTCAATAAGAAAGAAGAAAACACTAGAGAAAATCAAAGAAGAAATCAAAGGTAAAACAAAAGATTGGAAAAGTGAAGATATTAAAACAATTGAAGAATGAATCAAAAACAAAAATCGAAACAAAGAAATGAATGACAGATGTAAAGCTGCAAGAATAATAAATGAAAAAGAAAATAAAAGGAAAACACAAGACAAAGAAGAGAAAAAGGAAGAAGAAGGCAACAAAGAAGAAATTAACACACTTCAAAATAAAATTAAAGAAATAGAAGAAACTATTAAATAACTTCAAACAAAAAACAAAGAAGAAGAACGAACCATTTCAGATGAAATGATTCAAAAAGCACGAGGTACAATTATAAAAGAACTTGAAGAAAAAATAGACAAGATTCAAACACAAATAAACAATATTCAAACTACATATAATGAAATAAGAAAATTCTAAATTAAAATAATAAAATATTTCATTACAATCAAAAATAAATGAAATATAAAATAGAAATAACACATAACGATGAAATCATTATTCTCTTAGTTAATTATGAGATGAAGAAGAATGATGATGATGTGTTGAAGAAGAACATAAGATATAAATAAAAATAAAACACTGAATATCAAAAAAGTGCGATTCAAAACTATGAGATTGCAGAAATATACAAGAAAGAATTAACAATACACAAAAAGAAAATGAAGAAATAAATCCAAATATATCAAACATCATC